ACAACAGAAGATAAAGTACATGAGACTGAATTGGTGAAGTATAATTTTATGACTTTTGACTAAAACGATGCTGATTTACTTGTAGACTTTGTTATCTGGTTGTAAAGATTTGTGTCCTGTCTTGAGATATGGCTAAGTTTATGTATCTACCATTTGAACAGAATCTTAACCTGTTTCCTGGCTTTAAGCTTTAAGCAAAGTTCTTTAGCACTTCTTCGATTTAAGTTAAAACTGGTTTTCTTAATAGTACCAAGTGAACTTGATATTGAAAGTAGTTAGATTATTAAAGAAATTATGTGATCAATACAACATGGGGGGGAAGGGAATGAAAGACAACTGTAGACACCAGAGATAATGTGAAAATAGGGTGGGAAAGGGCAGAGGGTCAGAAATAGGGGTAAAAAAATACTAGAAACTAGAAATGGAAAATTTTTTATTATAACATGCATGATTAAGCCACTATGCAGTATATTCTGGAAGGAAAATCACATTTTGTATGCTGTGACGATGCTTAGGGAATAAATGTAAATTAAGTTAAAAAAAAAAGAAAAGTTTCACAAAAAAAGACCTAAAACAGTTTTTCTTGAAATTAAACAAATGCATTAAAAATACTTATTTGATGACTGCAGTATGATATATAGCCCAACTAGGTGCTACTTTATAGGACATTCATTCTACTCACTGAGGCTTATGCCTAAACTTGGACTTGTGTTCATGGAAATGAATGTATCAGAGATGCTTGCTATGAAAATATTTAGATTAATTAAGATCTTTAGTGACTCAATAAAATGTGTGTGTGGGGGGGGGAGTATAGAAAGCAAAAATAGATACCAGAGACAATGTGGGAGGAGAGTGGTTGACATCAGAGGGTAAGAAATAGGGAATCAAGGGTGAGAAAAAAAGCAAAACATAGAGGAATCAAGAAATGGAAAATTATTAGTTGACAATAACATATATGTTGATAAGCTTTGATTGAGCCAATACGCAGTGTAATCTGAATGGAAAAGCTCATTTTGTATGCTGTAATGAGGTACACTGAATGAATGTAAATAAATAAATTTAAATTAAAAAAAAAAGAAATGAATCGTCAGCGAACTCTAACAGGAACCGGAAATTTTCATGCCACATAAGTTGTATTTCCAAACAATAAAGTTAGCTGTTGTCCACCATATCAAGTAGGTACCACAACTCAAACAATTCAAACTAATAAAGCAGATTATAAAATTGCTAGAAGAGACAAATGAGATATGGAAGAATAATACTCTGACATCTTAGGTTTTCAGTAATACTTTGCACCTTCCTGCCTTTTTCTTGACTGTAGTTGAGGTGAATGGCATAATATGTGTTCTAGTGAGATCAGAGAATAAAGAATACAGAGAATACAGCTTAATGAGTTCAGAACACTCCCATAAACTTTGTCAGTATGGAGACTTACAGATATTTCACTTCAAGTCTGATGGCAAAGGATGATATTTTAGTACATAAAACAACTAGATGAGTGGCAGAATAAGTTTCCAAGTGAATGATATAGCACACAACTCTGAATCGAATAAACATAGATAAGATGTTAACCTTATGAACTTGAATGTCAGCCTGAATGAATATCATTCCTATTTTACTCTGTTTGTGAACTAACTGATTTTGTTTGTATAACAAGCAGAGAAAAGTGCTCAGACCTGAATGGAGATTTGGCATATACTATAGTCAGTAAGAAACATGGATTCTTTAAAAACTAGGTTTATCAGTGATTAGATAAGTGATGTTTAGGACCTGAGAATTCCTATCATGTGGTTATGCTGTGCATCATGAGATACTCAGCAGCATCCTTGGCCTCTACTCATTGCAGTAGTTTCACACCAAGTTGTGAAAAGCAAAAACATCTGTGAACACTCTCAGAGGCCCATGAGACTGAGTCAAAGACAAAAAGTCTCCACCTAAAAAACTCTATGTTAGATGAGTGTTTAAAATGACCATTTTGGGACCAGCAAGTGGCATGGTGGTTAAGGTGCTGGACTTCCACATGGCCAACCACAGTTCGAGACTCGAACCTGGAGGCTTACTCTCTCCTTTTTGCTCCATGTCTCTCTCCCATTCCTTCACTCTCTCTTTCTCTTTCTCTTATCAAATCAAATAATATTAAAACAAATAAAATAAATACATAAAAATGACATTTGTGTTAGAAGAACTGTTGGATACCATCAAAAGTAAAAAAGACATGGACATATACACGTCACACTTTGTGTCTTGGAAATACAATGTTCTATAGAAGGGCCAGAATAGGGACAGATATAATATTAGAGATAAAATGAAATATAATATTTTGAAGGAAAAAAGCCTTATAACATGCCAATTTGTCTTCATATAGGTCAAAGATACACAGGAAATACACTACAATGCAGTGTTAACATTTGAATGCCAACTTTCTTCATAATACCAATTTTCATACTCTAAGGTTCTCAAGAGTTCCTAGAATCCAGTTTCTGAAATTGACACAGCTGGGCCCGAAATACCGAAGAGTGGAGTGTCTCAGCAACCTTCTGTCATACGGAGCTTTCCAACTTCTATTCTTCCATAAGCTCCATTATTTATAATTTCACAATATAATCTATTTAGATTTTGTTGGAGTCCTGCCTAACCAATTAAAACATTTCAACTATCATTAAGATAATGTTTCCAACTGATGAGATTTTTGGATTTCTTCTCATATCTGAAATTTGTATTGGGGCCATAGGGAACTCATTGCTTTTCCTGTTATACACATACGCTTCCTTGATTCGACCTCATCTGAACAAGCCCCTAGATTTGATTTTCATACACTTGACATTGGTCAATGTTTTGGCTATCTTGTTCAAGCTGATACCAGATATTGCATCATCCTTTGGAGTAAAGCATTTTATGGGCGATGCTGGTTGTAAAGCAGTTTTGTACATATTCAGAGTTGCCCGAGGTCTTACTCTCTGTACCACCTCTCTCCTGAGTGCGTTTCAAGCCATCACTATCAGTCCCAGTAATTCTAAATGGGCACGGCTTAAAACTAAATCCTCTACATGGATTTTACCCTCTCTCTTTTTCTTCTGGGTCATCAACGCGATGGTCTATATCCACGTAATCCTAACTCTAGAAGCCAATCGCAATTTCACTGTTGTCGGTTTTGGATATTCTCACCCATACTGTCAAAATAAGCACTTTAAAACCGACTACCCAGAGGTATTTACAACTGTCTTGGTGACACGAGATGTGCTCTTTGTGGCTCCTGTGATCTGGACCAGCATCTACATGTTGAATCTGCTCCACAAACACCGCAAGAGAGCCCAGCATCTTCACAGCCCCAGCCTCTCTGCCCAGCCATCTCCTGAAAACAAAGCTACCCACACTATCCTTTGGCTGGTAAGTTGCTTTGTGTTCTTCTATTGCTCAAACAACTTTGTGACCTTTTATTTGTTTTTTAAACATCAGAAAAGCCCGAGACTAGAAAGGATAGTTGGAATTACTTCTTCATGTTACCCAACCATCTGCCCTTTCATTCTAATGAAAAATACTAAAATTATTTCCAAATATACTTCTTACTTTTCAAAACTTAGATTTACCTTTTCTTCAAGGAGTATTCAGTGATGGTTGACACAGCTTTTTCCTGCAACATAGAAGTCTCCATAAGGATTTATATGAGCAAAAACATGCCATGTATCTAATGAGTACTGAAATGGGACCAGTATAAATTAAGATATGCTGTGAATTTTTAATACATGAGGATTTAAAATCTTGCAATGAATGCATACAAAAATAACACATTGATAATTTTTATATTGAGTATGTTTGAATTGGAATATTTTGTGTTACGTGAAATGTATTATAAATATATTAATAAAAATAATTTTATTAAGAGGTGGGATTACTGAGTCATATGGTAGTTCTATTTGTAGATTCTTAAGACTGTACTAATTTATATTCCCACCAATAGTGTAAAGTATTCCCTTTTAACCACAGCCTAGCCAGCACTTGCTATTCCTTATTTTTTTGATCATAGTCATTCTGACTGGGGTTAAGTGGTGTCTCACTGTGGTTTTTGACGTGTATTTCCCTTATGATAAGAGATGTTAACCTCTTTATTTTCATATGCATTCAGTAATTTGTATGTCTTCGTTAGAGAGTTGTCTGCAGAAATGTACAATCATTGAATGTAAATAACAAGTCATCAAAATGTATTTAGAGATTTTTGCCTTCGGGCATGTGCGCTCATGGAAGAGTGGGGCCAAACAAAGACAGTGAGAGATAAAGTGAGAAATCACCCCCCAGGAGGGATGGCCATGCCATAATACCTTCTCTTCCATTCTTCTGAGATCTCAGGCATGCATGCACACGCACACATACCCGGCATGATTTTGAAATTACCATGTCTGTAACTGTATTCACAGTTGGCCTTGTCAGAGTCCAGTGACCTATTCACTACACTGTCTGGTGGATCCAGTCATCAAATATTTTAAAAGTTAAAAATATATCATTTTGGGACCAGCAGATGGCACAATGGCTATCACTGGACTCCCATGTAGTCGACTGCGATTCGAGTCCTAGACCCAGTGGTTTAAACTGACACCAGGTGCGTGTCCATGAGTGCCCAAGATCCCAAAAGAAGATGGAGAAGGGGTTGCGTCATGGCCAACCTCCCAGGGGGTGATTTCTCACTTTCTGTCTCTCTGTCTCTCTCTGTCTTTTTGGCGAGTGCACACACCCTATAGCAAAAAAAAAAAAAAAACCTCTCCAAAAAATAAATAATGTACATTTTCCATGAAAGAAAATATATACTATAGAAAACCCACTGGGCCAACCAGTGGCATGGTGATTAAAGCAACTAGATCCAATATATACACGGTTCAAGACCCAAACTAGCAGCTTGAAAAATGCACCAGGTGTGTGTGGGCTTGTGTGCAAAATTCGTTAGTGTACACGCCCTTTGATCCTTTTATGCAATTATACTATTCCTTGAATTTTCAAAGTGGACACCCCGTGTAACCAGCACCTGTATCAAAAACCAGAACATCAGCATTTCCCAAAAGCCCCTTCAAGCATCCTCTCAGCCACCACCCCTACCGGTACCTACTTGTGGGAGGCTGCGTGCACCAGCGAATATCGCTGGTTTCTCAGAGAGCAAACAATTGCACAATGACAAAGGCCATGATTGGCTCCCCTTCAAAACATCCTCACCTTCAAAACCATACTCTAATTGGCCACTAGAATTCCTCAGACTTGCATATCCAGGACCTCATGATTGGTCCACAAAGCAACCAATCATAATCCACCTTTTACAACCAATCATAACCCACCTTTTACAACCAATCATGGCCCACCAACATGTATATAACCATGATCCCTGGCCCACAGTCTCCAGACCACCCGGAGGACCCTGAAGAGTTGTGACACCACGTCGTCTCTAGACGACCCTGAAGAGCCTGAAGAGTTGTCACACTGTGTTGTCTCCGTGCTGCCCACAATAAACGGACGACCCTGAAGAGCTGTATCACTGCATCGTTTGTCCCGTCTCTCACTCCTTCCCTCAGGAAAACTGTTCGACTGTCCCCCGGGGGCCGGGACACATGGCGCCTGAACAGGGACCCTGAGTACGAAGTATCCAGTGAAGAGCACCTAAGAAAGGACGGCAGAGAATCATCCAGGAGGGGATGGCAGAGAATCGTCCCAAGAAAGGATAGCAGAGAATCATCCAAGAGGGAATGGTAGAGAATCATCCCGAGAAAGGCCGCAGAGGAGGACGGCAGAGAATCGTCCCGGTGAATAACAAAGATCACTTACTTATAAGTAATAAGGGTAATAATGGGACAAGAGCTTAATCAGCATGAACAAGAGCTTAACCAGCACGAACAAGAAGAGCTTAGCTAGCACGAACTATTCATTCAGGACTTAAAAGAAGCTCTTGCCACTGTGGTCGCTAATTCTAAAATTAAAAAAGAACAGGGAGAGGATCTTATTTCCCTAGATAATGAGGGAGAAGTTAAAAGCCCCGAAGGTGAGACAAAACCCAAAACCAACAAATAACTAAAGACAGAGCAGGCTCAGTAATAATAAACAACTACTGAAGACAACCCTGAAGACCCTGAAGAGTTGTAACACCGCATCGTCTCGAGACAACTCTGAAGACCCTGAAGAGCTGACATCACGTGGTCTCCAGATGACCAAGACAACCCTGAAGAGTTGTGACGCTGCGTCGTCTCCAGAAGACCCTGAAGAGCTGTGACACTGCATCGTCTCTAGACGACTCTGAAGAGTTGTAACACTGTGTGATCTCCGTGCTGGCCACAGTAAATGGACAACCCTGAAGAGTTGTAACACTGCGTCGTCTCCGTGTTGTAACACTGCATCGTTCGTCCCGTCTCTCACTCCTTCCCTCAGGAAATCTGTTCGACTGTCCCCGATCAGTACCTACTAACTGAAATAATGACACTATCTAGTGTCATTGATTTGGGCATAAATTCTTCCCATAGATAATTCTACAAAGTTTTCATTAAGCTCTGAGAGGTCTCAAGCATTAATACCTTTTTGTTCGAGTTCTATTCCGTGTTTATTGTTGCTATGTCTTCACATGCCAGAAGGTGAGCGGCAGCTCCCTGGAGCCTCATGAATTAAGGTACTACTCTGTCCTAATGGTGACCTAATTGCCTCCCAAATTACTCTGCCTCTTAATATTATCATGTTGGTGATTAGGAATTAAAACATAAATTTTGGGGACACACAGACATTTAGGCCATGGCAGATTTCATCCTTTATAAAAAAGACTCAGAATACATTCTCTCATCTCAGACCATTTTTTAAGAAATTAGTTCCTAAAACCCTAAGGCTTGTTTGCTGAAGGAACTCAACACCTCATTAGGCAAGAGTTTCTTAATTCTGCTTTCCCCAGGAAACTATTGTCCCTTCCCCAATGCAGTTGTCCTTAAAATCCCTGAAGCAATGATTCACACAGCAGAGACACCAGAAGGGCAATGGGTAACCAGTTGCATTCTCAGAGGGTCCAGAGCAGACTTACTTTTTCTTTTTTCTTTTTTTTTTTTTTTTGGCTATTTAATTTTGTTCTTAGTGTATATTTTACAAGGAATGCACAGTTAACTACTCTTGGAATTACGTGAAACAATTCTTTATGAGTTATACTACTAACTTGATACAAAGCATTTTCATTTCTTGCATTGTTTTAGATTTCTAAGGTTTCATAAATTTAGCTTTGTTGTATAAAAATCATACTATCTCTATAGTAATAAAGTCAACCTGTAAAGTCAGCCATATTTAGAGAAGTCTGAACTATGTCTCCATCACTGTATTCCCTTTCTCTCACATGAGAAAGATTAGGTTTTTAGAGTTTTTCCATTTCTTTTTTTTCTTTTTATTTCTATTTCTTTTATACATTCAATCACATTACTTAGCATACAAAGTGAATGTTCCAATGTCTGCATATTTTTCACCAGTCCAGTACACATACACAAATTTCTAGACTGCACATATGCATGACTATACATATTTATTTTTCATCTTCTTTATTTAAGAGTCAGAAAGAACTTAAGAGCTACCTCATTTCATCTGTGCAATTTTATAATTTCCTCTATACTCACCACTCTTGATTTGAGGGTGTCATATTCCTTCAAAGATTTTAATAAATATTCTTATAAAGTGTTTTATCTACTCACATATATTCAAGAAGCTTGAAAATGTCCATTAAACTTGACAAAGATCTCCTACAAATGTCCTTAAATTCCTGGAAACAAAAATTGTAACACAGAATCCTATGTAAAGACAGCCCAGTCCTCAAATACTTTCAAAGATGTAGAATTCAGACCTGAAAGATAGTATATTAACTGCCTTTAGTAAAATTATGCAAATTATGCAAGAAAGTTTAAAAAAAACACTATATTTCAATATGATGAAATGAGCAGAGAATTACAAATTGCTTTAAACTTTAGGAAACAGGTCAAAAAAAAATTTTATTTGCCAGAGAGAGGTGCACCATTCTGTCTGGTACCTTCACAGCTCACACCCTCAGTGCTGCAGATTACATCCTCAGCACTGTTGCCCTGTCTGGTCCCTTCACAGCACACTCCCTCACCACTGCCTTCTAGTCTGGTTCTGCTGCATCTAATGCCTTCTCCACGCCCCAGATCCTTGTTGTTAAACCTGCAGGTGAGCTGCACTAGGGAATCGAGCCTGGTATGGATCACCTGGGTGTTCAGGAGGTGCCAGCAGGAAAGTCAGGACCACCATCCCCTCTAGTCCTTCAAGAGGTCGCTCTTGAATTTTGACATGACCTTGTGCCCCTCCCCACCCCATCCCAAGACCTTTTCCAGCAAAGGGACTTGCCCTAAGGTAGGCTACCTGTGACTGGAAGGCTGCTGGAAGGTTGTGCTACAGAAACCTGTGGCTCATCCTCCCCCTACTGGTCTTTGAACTCTCAACTCTTTGCATGGGTCTTTGAAATGACCTTGTGCCTCTCCTTACCCCATCTGGACACCCTCCCCACCCCATTCCATTCAGGCAGACTGAGCTGTAAAGATACTGTGGCTTTGTGGCTTATCCCCTGCCACACACCTCTGATTCTAAGACTTCAACTTTTTGTAAAG